TTAAACATCGGTTATTCAGACTCTCAGTATCTGAAAAATCACAAAAGTTCCATGTATATTTTCAGCACTAGCAAATTTACAGATATCAGTTTCTAAACCGTGTCATAAAGTTTGTCCTGAAAAGTTTTTACCATGGATCCAAGTAACCATATGCCATTTAGTATGCACTGCTTGCTTTATTTAGTCTAGAATCCGAGATCAAGTAGCCAGTGAATTACTTGTAAGCAAACATAGAAACATTAAAATTAACTTCATTCTTCAACTGACAAATGGAGCTCAAGTGATATAAGAGTTTCGATTTCCTACAACACGAAATCATGTGGGAATTATCCTCTTACTAGTGATTGTTCTTACCTAGGAAAATTAGGTAGTATTGAGTATAATTATATCCTCACTTGCTAAGTAGAATTTAACTGTTTTGTCCTGTCAGTTTATATTACCATGTCATCAAACTTCAGGCCTAGACTAAGTTCAAATATGAGACTGACAGTCTCTTAAGGATCTCATTATTCAGGTGATCATATGATCATTCACTTGTACTGTCAAGCAACTGTGGCATAATAAGAGGAATTAATGTGATTATAAATGTGATGTGGGTAAGTTTTCTTCATAATAGAAAGTGGGAGTTTTCGCAAAAGGTGAGTAGACAGTTAAAATATGATAACAAAGCTTTGTACTGTACTGAGACAATTTTCCAACATATAGCGAGGACTTTTGACATTTAGAGATTCCCATAACATTAATTAAAAACAATCTGAAAGAAGAATATTTGTTCCAATAAATTCTCATTAGGTTCTACAATTACAAAGTGGATTCACACAGCGTAAAAACAGGCCAATTTTGAGGCGAATACACTTTCAAAGTAGAATGAGAGCTATGGACTGTAAGGAAATCAAATTTTCCTTCCAAATCTGTCAATGTTCTTATGACTTGTATTTGCAGATGAAAAAGCGGTGGTCAGCGAAAATAAGTGAGGAAGATGGGAGTAGCCTCTAATTTACGGAAGGCATTTTATCAGGATGTCATTTGAAAAATGTCCCATGGATCGTAGACGCAGAAATAAAGGCTGCTTCGCTACTGTCACTAGTTCATGTTTCAGATTACTGTAAGTGATGTTTATTTTGGTGAACTTTTAGGGATATCTAATGTCAACCTTTTACTCAACGTCCAATATTTGCCATACTATAAGATCAAATCTTGATCATAGTTTATATAAATTACTTTGCAATCGTATTAAATTATCAAAGAAACTATATAACTGGTACAGTCATCTTACATCTGTTCTCTGAACATCACAAACACGTGATAGTTCTTGTTCCAGACACTTCTCAAAACAAGCCAGTCTGACTCTAAGTGTTAGACACTTAATTATATTACGTTTTTACTTCATTAGTGCCAAGCTGAGAAAGTAAGCATACCATGACTTCATCATCGATTTTCCATTTATGGGTATGAAATCACCATTCTGTCCTATATTTTTAGACATATTTAAGCCAAAAGTGAGAAAAGGTCCTTTGATAGGTCGAACTGCTAATATGGAGTTATACTGCCGATATATGGACTGAGCGTTTATGGCCTCTAATAAGTACCTATGCAGTAACTCCATTCTGAGTTATTTCAGCAGAGCTTATGTATCAGTTCATTTTACTATTGGAAGTCAAATGAATGATTCTATACATTTCCTTGACACTTTAATGACAAGAAGACAAAACGACTTCTCAAGGGGAAGAAACAGTCACTTTTCATGTAGGCGTTTATGATTGGAAGTGTAATTCAAATAAAAAAGAGAACTCTTCTCAAACATGTTACTGACATCGATTGTCCAATGAATATCTGTCTCCGTAGACAGAATTAGATATAAGAATCATCCTATCTTTTTCTACGGAAGGGTGTCTTGACAGTCTCACCGGTAACCGTAATAAACAAACTTCCATCGGATGGCTTTAGACAGCCTGCTGTTTTCGACTTACTAGATTCTCCATAAACGCATAATCAGTAACTATCTGCTACTGGAATGGAATCTGTTTTTACATCAGTTGTCAAAGTTTGTGCTTGTATATTTGTTGTATCCTTGGTTATGTAAACTAGTTGCGGTAGCCTTCTTATTTGTTGGGACTTCCGCATGCTTTGACCAAACGGTGTATGAATTTGACTGGTCACTTCATGTAACCTAGTCCTAAGTTCTGATCGAACTCTATCAATTATTTTTCAATGTGGCCACCATGCTAGTTGACTCAGCGTTGCGATGTACTTTGATAGATGTTATTTGGATGGAGACAATTGACAGAAAGCCTTGGACATGGTTTTCGTACTTTTTGCCACTCGTCAGCAAGGTGTATCTGCACCAAACCTACGTCCAGGACTTCCTGCTGACTGCCTCCATTCAAATAAAATCTATTAAGGTGTATGAATTTCTTAGAAATCAAAATATCTTATAGCATGGGGTGGCGTATCAATCCGAAGCTAGTTGAACCATTTTATTTCCCTTATGGTGAGCACTTTAGTGCTACCAGAAAATAGTGTGGCTTACGCACCATCATATGAACCCCTATACGACTAGTAAACAATCTGTGCCACTCGTATAACTTAACATCTAAGGTATAGTATATATTACCAATGACTTCCTAATTTAGCACAGTGAGTTGTTTTGTAATATAAAAGAACCTTTATAAGAGTGAAAAATGGCTAGCTATCGTAAAACAGGATTTCCAAGATTTTTATAACTTATAAAATATATAGCTGGACATTCGGGTTTATCAAGCATAAAACTGATAACGGGGTTCTCGAAGATTGAGAATCAATGTCTGTAATGTGTTTTGCTCTGATAAAGCTGTTTATATCTGCTAGGCAACAGCGAAACACTTTCAGCAGCGTCTTTCCTCAGATAAGCTTCATACTGTAGTGCTTAGAAGAATGTAAGCTGTATTTTGAATCATAAGATTCTGAAGGTAACATAATCGCTGTGTAGTTCAGAGAGACACTACTCTAAACCACATTGACATTAACAGTGTGAACCCATTCATTATCTAAATAAATATGCCTACAAATTTAGTGTTAAAATTGAAACACTGTCGAACTTGATGACAGATATTTGATTATTGATACTGTATAATCAACTACAGGTTGGTTTTGGATCAATGGCTTGTTAGGTGTGGTTTGTTGAAGTAAACATTTGAACATTAAATAGCAAAACTCAGACAACAACATACAACTGAGATACTTTCAGAAACCTTGTGTAGTGTCAGTTCTACCGGAATATGCTGTAAGTTTATGTGGTGAATTGCATATATAGTAGTGAGTATGAAAATAAAAACGATGTTTAATTCTCTAGAGTTCACTAAATATTGAATACTCCCTAATCATACCGTTTGTTCATTACTTTCTCATTTTACGCCATCTTAGGGGCAGTCATATCAAGTAACGCAACTCCACTTATTCCTTTCTGAGTTGCATTCGAAAGTAGTTTTCACCATTCAGTGACATCATTCAGAGCCACTGGGAACTTGATTTTGCATTGAAGGTAATTAATTATGAAGTCTGTTTTTTAATCTAGCAATGGCCATTTTTGTAACTATGTGGGAAGTAATAGAAGTTCCTGAGAAAAACCTATCCATTCTAGAGGAGTTGGAAACTGAAACTTAGAAAAACTGTTAGATTCAAATTCGAAACGGAATAGTTACATTCGAGGACAGCCCATGCGTATTCTTAATGGCTTCCTATGGAACTAAATTCAATTTATTTAGGTTGAAGAACTTAAGTTATGTGACCAAACTAAACAAATCCCCTAAGATCTGTTTGCCTGAACACATACTGTTACAATCAGAGCGATCAGAATCAGAGTAACATCCAACTGATCTTTAAATGTTAGCATAATGTTCACTTAAAGATCAGAAAGCCTAATAAATGTCCATCAAAAGTTAAAGTAAATATCCTAGAAAATCCTATAATAAAGAGAACCCTAATTTTACATCTTTTCCCTGAAAGCTCTTTAAATCGACATAAGCATTTAGGCTATTATTCTTCGCAACATTATATCCATATTAGGAGAATAGAAGTGGACCGAATGAATTCTCATCCTCTACCTCTTATTCTATTTTGGAAGTATAATGTCAAATAATAGTAAAAGACTTGAAAACAAATGGATGAAGAATACATTTAACTCAATGAGAATGTTTTTTTCGGTGGAAGTGGGGAAAGGAATTATGACTGAAGTTGAAAGTCAGTGAAGACTGTTGCTTGATATCCTACTGTAACCCTAATGTCTACATCTTCACTCATCATTCTAGTACAGGTGAATCCGTTTATCAGACAAGGATGTCCTGGACAATGTAACCGGGCATTCTTGTCCAGTTTAGACTAAAATAATATGAAGTAGCTAGTGCAACACATTGTGAACAGTTGTATACTACTCGTATACCATACTAGGCAGACTGATGTTGGAACATGGTTAGCAGTCTGATCTGGTAAGTTAGCTGACAAATCGGTGAACCCTAGAAGAGATTCTGACATGATTTTGTTTGCAATAGTTCTTTAGCAAATTTTTCGATTTGGCCCTTAAGACTTACTCGGATAGTAGAACCAGTAAGTGAATCTATCAAATATCTGCCTGTATTAACTACAGTATATCTTATTTCCACTAGACGGTTAGACTCAGGGCATGTAGTACCCCGGAAGCTATAAATGTTCCCCACGAAGTCATAGTTTTCCAATAGGATAATCCAGATATATCCCAATACTGAATGAAGTTATCAGCCTTGGTTTCCGGATCCTACCTCTACAGTTAAGGGGCTAAAGTGCACACAATAAAGGACAAAAGGCCTGGACTCCAACCCTATAAGCGTCCTCAGTTTACTTATTTAACACGTTTCTGTTAAGCTCTTCGATTTTCCATAGTTGCCTAAGCAACGTCAGCTTACAACTGGGATGCATCAATAAACCTATATGATATAAAATTACAATGATTATATAACCCTAAATATTATGCAATCAGAGGAACTCACTTCTGAAATATGACAAGGAGATTTCCAAACACCTGGAAGTGTATTTTATTGGTCCGGAATGAATTCCAATATGTAGACTTATGTGTCAAAATAGTTGCTTTGTTCTCTTGCACACTTTGTTACAGAGTTAGCAATGCAATACCTCCCAGTTTGTATTTATAAATGTGACTTAAATTTTACAGTGCCCTGATTCGTTTTGGACGGAAGTGCCAAATAATCCACTATACTCTATTGATAGATGGGTGTGCTGCCTGTCTGTTAGTCTATACTACAGTCAAAATTCAACTTGATTTAGGCAGCAAGTAACCCATTCATCTATGGGTACAGTGTTTTTGTGAGCCAGCACACGGGTTAGAGGAGTAGGCTTTGTAAGTGCAAAAATCAGTCTCTATGTGCGTTATTCTCAGTTTTATGTGTAGGTGTGCATTCATTGTTATTTACAATTTAGTTGTTGGCCTTATGGAATTGTGCCTTCATTGTGCTCCTGCCTTATTAGTATTGGCGACTACACGCTCACACACACCCTAAAATTTTTCTACACCCCTACAACCTACTCACCCACTCATACTACCGTCACCCTTACTCCCGTTGTGCCATTCTCCTGAATCGGGATGCTACCACCCTTATTGGCACTGATAACAAAAAGCACACCAACCCAATCATGTGAGTTATAATCGATGGATCGATAGGACCCAGGCAGAATCAAACCCAAACTTCAGACAACTCAGACAAAACCTGAAATTTAAATTCAGTGGGAGAGAGAGAGAGAAAAAGTCCATTCATCCTTCGGCTGCCTTCACTCACGTGTAAAGTCATAAATAAATCTCTAGTCAAAGGGGTGCACTAATCAATGCGCACTAAAGCAATGACCTAGTTGTCATGTGGCCGAGGTCAAGTCTATGAGAAATAAAAGACCGTAGCAACTAAATCTACAAGGAGATACAAGCACGGACTGGTATCATTTCCTTTTCAATTTGACTATTTCATATTGATTAACACACGCACACACTTAGGTGCATACATATTTCTCCGTATGCACGGGTTATCTGTGGGTTTGTGGGTAAAATGAGGGTTGACATAGACACAGTGACAAACAGAGCTAGACACACTTACAATTGGAATTTGTGTACATATGTCTGTGTACTTAAACATATCTAGTTAAGTGTGTGTATGCTTGCGTGTTGTTTGTGATACGTTATGAATCAGTAAATAGTGATACAAAGACTCTGTCATTTCTATATTAGAGATTACAATTGATTGGAAATAAGTTTTTCAAACTTGTTCTCTAATTCTGGTTGGAATTAAATCGATCAATTAATTAGCCAACAAAGTAAAATGTTTAGTATAACACCAACGAAGTTTCCAATTTTAAAGTAATAATTACAAAAACCGTTTACGCGTTAAAACTGGTAATGTGTGTGTCTGTACCCTCTTGTATGCGATAAGGTGTGATACTGTATTTATTGATTTCGATGAGCATAGTGAAGACGACTCACAGGCACAAGTTAGTGAACCGAATTTAATTGCTGCAGTGTTACGCTGACTAAAGCCTTTTGAGTTAACCAGCATGCAGCACTTGTTTCGGTGATTTTGTGAGTTGATTGGAAGTGGTGAAACTATGCGAGACCAGATAACTATTTTGTGACTGTTTATAAATGCATAGCTTGAGTTATTTGCTCGATAGGAGATAGGAGTGACAGATTGGACTCAGAGCACCCTATCATTTATGTATTCATTAGCTCGACTAGTAAACAAATTTTCCAGTGTTAAAGAGTGAATAGATATATAACACTTTTATCAGTTAATCAAGTGTTTTTTGGTGAAATTAACAAATATGCAAACAGTTTTCATCATGAATGGATGTTAGTGGTTTTATATCAAAATATAAGTGAATTTGAGATATGAGGGCCATCATAGTCGAATCCAAAAGGTAAATGATGATGTGGTGACCTCTAGACATTAGGTTTCCTGGCTAAATCCTCTGTACAGTCGAGTGAGCGCACAGTTTATTAGTCCAGAACCAGTAGTTCATTTGTTTATGATAGTTTGTGATCCAGACTATCTGTCTTCATAGTTCAAGTCAGTGGTGTCTAATCTTTAATAGAAGAATCCCTATGTTTATATAGATGATGCATGAGGACCGAAAAGAAAGCTTGGTAGCATGTGGATTGCCATTTACAGATCCCTCGTTCTAACCAGAAGTTATGCTCATATTGTGGCAACATATCATACATTTAGACTTTAGGTAGGCAGCATTTCAAACGTTTATTTGAAGACAGATATCGCTCCATATAAGAGTTTGAGAATTGCTGTTAAGAAAGATTCTTGGGAGGTGAGACAACAATGGGAACTAGCACTCATAGAATGACTTCCTTATTACTGGTATGATGATCGGCTACTCAGCTAACTAAACTTCTTTTTATAGGATTTTCCTCAGTTATCAAGTTCTAGAGTAGATTAGTCAGTTATTTTGGAAACTATTCAGTGCTGTCCATTATCTCCTCATGATCTGTTTTGAAATTCCTGAATACGTACACTCGAAAGACGTATAGTAGTCTTTGAGTCCATGTGTCTTATGTATATGACACTGGAAAACCGTCCTCTCATGTGTATGTTAGCAATTTTTAGCATTCATTTAATGGCGTTGTAATCTCTAATGTTTATTTGTACTTCTGACTGCTATCAGTTCGATCGACGTGCACCTGTATCAGTTTTCTTGTTGAGATCCTAATTCAGCCTCAAAAATATCGAAGCAGTAATGCTGATTATCCAGTTAACTGACAAGATTATTTGAACATTCGTTTTGAGAATTTAAAGGAATTCTTTCTCTAGAGTAGGTTGAATGAAAAATAAAACAGTTCACTTAATATCGCACATAACACTAAAACGCTTATTGCATTTCATATTGTCATCTAAATTATTAATAATAATGATAATAATGATTATGAGCAATAATTTATATTCGGAACGTCATCAAGTAAACATTACTCTATTACTGGGCACTACATATCAAATAAATCTAATGTTGAACTTACTTGCCACCTACATTCCTGTGTATTTAGTCACGCATGAGTCATACCTAACTTGTGACTAGTTGTACTAATTGGTTGTTCAAACAAATGAGTGGAGTAGTTTTTGAACCAGAGGCTGATTGGTCGATGGATTCCATTGTCAGTCACAGGATAGGCTAGGTGATAAATGCACGAAGTGGTAAACCTAAATACGTACGCTTAAGTTTTATCACACTAACCGATACTTTCTCCTGAAATCAAAATTATACACTGAAAAAATAAAATTTCAGTAAATCCTTAAGTATTTGGTTTGCCAAATAATTTCAAGTAATTTTAAACTTTTCCCAGTTGTCAGGTATCAACTAGCATTTCTCTGTTAAATCAAGCAATTACAATTGAGCGGTAATATGCGGTTTACGAGTTCTAAACAAACAGCAATACCATTCTGGGTTCGTCTGCTATCAGACATAAACGACTATTGGAGTGATTCAGTTCGGAGGTTTGAATGAATGAATTTCATTGATTTTAAGTTGGCATTCATCAGGAATTGATATCATATAGAGAACCACTAGAGACCTAGGAGCACTGATAGTGTGGACCATTGCATCATCACCCAGTGGCTCACTAGAAACGTGCTAGTCACCGAACCTGGGGGTTCTGGGTTCGACCCCTGGTGGGTTCACGAGTGCACACCGATGAGGAGCTCCATGCTGGAACGAAATAGCTGTCCGGTGCTCTCAGGTTTTCAGTGGTCCTCCGAGTGATATCAGTCCGTGATGAATACCAACTTGATGGAGCTATGATTCAGTGGTTTAGGGAGATGATTATCAACCACTAGGTCACCCATCTACCGAGGTTTCGGCAGTTAGGTAGCATCATTAGCCCTCACACAAGAAGTGTGGTTCATTGCCTGCTCCACGGATGTGCACAAGGTGGCTGGGTGCGTTTCATTCGTTTCGTTCGAATATCAACTTGGAATATTAAAGGGACATGAGCATCCTGAAATGTAACGTTCATCCATTACTTAAACTGTGTGTCTCTTTAGTAGGTGAAAAATTCAAGTCTCCCCTTCTTAACTCATAGCTTTTATTAAAGATGCTAATTTCACAGCTCTTGAAATTCTGCAGAAATTTTTCTAATCGAGAGGAAAATAATTAAGAAAACCTCATAGAATCCTACGCTCACTTAGCAGTAGGAGAGACAAATGCACCAATTAGTTCTCTAGTAGACTACTTCTTGCGATTGATGGTCATCAGGAAGGAAATTATAAAACTTTCATGAAGAAATCAGAAGTGGGATCTAAAACTCAGTCTTCGGAAATGAAGATTCACTGGGAAAAGATAAAAGATAGGCTGGTCATAACAGATAATTGTTGCAAAAGGTCAAGGGAAGTTAACCACTAGATCAGTTTAGATACTGTCCAAGATCCAGGAAACGCGCAAAGGAATGCTTTCTTTTGCATTCAATTCAAAAATGGTGAAGAATTACGTAATATCAGGAATGAGCTACTCAAGTGTTTACTCAAAAATAGTAATAACTCACATCCTTATGTGATCTGGTATTAAATCCGATCTTTGTTGAACATTCCGGAACTGACTGTGAGTAGTGTATAAAGCAAACTTTCTAGAATCCAGAGAGTTTGTAAGGTCTCTTTCAAACTAGCTAATGTGCAAATGTTCATTTCTGACAATAAGACACGAAAGCAAGTTGAATGAAAACTATTCGAAAGTCTTTGAAAATAAAAGCAGTGGAGGTTTAAGAGATTAAAAAGGTGTCAGGATTTGAAAATAGTCGGCAGGTATTAAGGCTTGGCTTATTAAGCAGATGGATCTGAACAGTGTTAGTTTGTTAAACTATCGACAAGAACTGTGGAGATTTGATAGCTGCTTAAGTGTTTTGAATGTTAGGTGACACGCTTTGAGAAATTATTTAATTAATCTACGGCTCATTTTCATTTGTTGTTATGCAGTTTAAAACTCAGCAGAAACAGACATAGGTTTCCAAATGTATATCGAAGATATGAATGTTGTGGGGACGTAGAAGTGTTAGAGCGTCAGGATAATATGGTTTACCTTCTCGTATATCCAGGAATAGGTAGGATGGAGTAAGGAATCACCATGTAGTTGATCCTGATACAGTTTAAATATTAGTTATCAAAGACTCAGCTAAATGTTAGATGTTTTCATTCACGTCCATTAGTTTTTTGGTGTCTGTTAAACTTTGAGATCTAAACATAATTACCAGCAGCCTTATTTCGATGTCATCTACCGTAAAGTTTAGTGGTGATTTTTAATCATGAGAAAGTGGTAGACAATCATATTACGCCAATGAAAACTCTTCATTTGCAGTCAATAGACCTTATTAGGACTTCTGGAGGGTTTTCTTAGATCTGGGAATTACTACGCGTGTTCTTCAGTATTTAATATTTATTAGCACCGTATATCCTTATTCTTGTGATGTGTACACTCTCAGTGACGATTATGCTTACCGCCTTCTCACATCAAACTACAGTACCAAAACCATACATTCATGTTAGAAAACAAATTAGAAAAGTGTAGGCATTCTAAATGCCTTGAGTTAAAATTTGAGTATCTTTGTCGCATACATTAGCTTTTTTAGTCATGGGAAAAGAAATTGTACGTGTAGCGTTAACTAAATTGCTTGATTTGGAAATTGAGTCAATCTAATTGAGATGCTCGCCTGTAAAAACCCCAGTTATGTATACTAACGGTCATTTGGCAATTTTCAAACTTAAATCACAAATGCACAAGCTACAAATAGATTGGCAAATTACTGCTCTTTCAATTATGGTTCCTAAAATCAGTAAATATGACAAGACAAAAAGCATAGAGTTACAGTTTTTCTCGTAACACCACTACCATGTATTTTAATCCTCATTTGCGTAAGTAGGAGATCACGATGATGTTAAACTAGTCGTTTGAAATCGGTACGAAATGTCTTATAAGTATGGAGATACAATTTAACTTTAT